CTCAACTTCTGAATCTGCTGCTTTACGGTTTGGTTCCCAAGCTCGGTCCTCAACTGCGGGTCGATGTAAGCCGCGGAGAGCTCGCCACTCACGCCACTCATGTCCATGATGTTCATCAACTCATCCGCTGGCATGCGGTTTCCGCGACCCAAAGCCTGAAACACCGTCGTCCAGGGTCCCATGCCCTGTGGCAGAGCTCCACCATGTAACAACTCATCCAAGTTGAAGCTCTGCACCTCCGGCTTCAGAACCTCAGCGCAGCATCTCACACCCGATGAACTTTGCAAACGCCTTAACAAACTTCACGCAAGCCCTGGCTTTAGCCCAAGCAGCTGCTGTGTGCTCCTTGCCCACACCGATTCCCTTGCCCACCACGATTCCATGCTGGAGGGAGCAAGCCATCAACGGCAGAAGCAGGAGCCCGAACCAGATCATTGAAACGGACGGAATGGCGAGTGCTGCCTCCAAACGAGCTAGTGGCAAAGGGTTGCGGTTGCTCCGTGCAGCCTTTGGCAGCCAGAGCGCAGCGGGGGCACAACAAACAGGTCGCGCGTGGCAAGTGGACATACCAGGCAATCTGCGCCCACAAGTCAACAGAAGCAGGCAACAATTTAACCTATGTCAGGACTCTGGGGGTTTCCGAAAATAGGGGACCCTAATTTTGTACCCTAAATAATAGGCTCCTTATTATAAGGACCCCAAAATAAGGTACCCCCTATTTTTGGAAACTCCCATTTATGCAATCACTATAGCTCTTCCGGATTCTTCCGGCCCAGGTTCGACCAGCCTGGCCGGCATTCCGCTGGCACGGCCTCCACTGCCGGCACGTCGACGTCGAAGAGCCGCGACCGCAAGGGTGCTGAGCCTGTGGCGAGTTTTTTGCAGGGCTTCGGGTGCAGAATTTCGGGCCAAGGGACCAATTAGGGGCAAGGCCTGGGGGCTCAAGACACGAGTGAGATCAGGTTGAGGCCACAAGTACGATCTGTAAGGCGTCGCTGTGCAGCTAGGGCATTCACATTTGCATTGCACTCCGGAACTTGGCACAAGGCACCCAGATGCACATCCCTGATTGCACAGTCGTTTAACGCAGGTCCGGTCCTGTCAGTCTTCGTCCTGTGAAGATCGAACAGTGAATCCTTAAGAGATCACAGCAGAATATGTGCCTCTCACTGAGCTGAGAGGCAGACTCTCAACCCGAGTTTCGTGTCCTGCCTGTGGTGCCGTTGTAGCCATGTGAACCTGCAGCCAGCTGCGGGTCACCTGGTCAACGCAGACAAGGTGAAGGCTTCAACCTTGCGGCTTATATGCTACGATGATCTACGCGGCATACATGCTTCAAACGGCTTCAGGAGGTGAGTTTGCTTCATTTCGGGGCTTGTGTTCTGCGCGCGACAGGGACAGCCTAGGGGAACAGGTTTCGGTCCTGTGCCGTGAACCATGGCTACCAGGATGGCAGTGAGCCTGAGGTACCTCGTCGTCCTAATAAGATGTGACAAGTACTCCGCTTCACCGTGGCCTGTGACAAGGAAGGTGCTGCTGCGCGCTGCGTGTTTGGAAGTGTTTCGGGGCTTCGACCCTTTGACTGAAAGGCCTGGGAGCTCGGAGTTCCAGCCAAGACTACCTATAGTCTCCATTGTAGTTCCTTTCTTTGGTTTAACCAGTTATATATTAAGGATTCTATAAGGTATCCCCAAAAAGGAACTCCAATGGAGACTATAGGTAGTACAAGTATCCTTCCAGCACCCTCCATATGGCCTCATGGTTCTAGGGGCTCAGTCGGCAATCGGAAGGTCCCTCGCCTCTGCTCTGGAGAGAACTCCCGCAAAGCTTTCCTGCAAAGCCTCAAATCCTCTCGCAGACGGGGCACGGAAGCCGAGAATGCGGTATTTCCCCGGGCGGTGGAAGGCCAGCAGCACGAGGAGGTTCCTCCGCTCAGCACGGAACTCGAGCTTCGGCGCCCGGGCATCGGCTTGTGATCTTAAAAGAGGATCTGCACAACATCCCCAAAGGGTCTAAGTACCCATATAGTAGATATTTTGGGCCCCAAAGTACCTACCATATAAGTACTTAGACCCTTTGGGATCCTTGAAGGACTCTCTGAAGACCTCGGACTCTCGCGGCCAAGATTCTGAAGAGGCCAGCCAGGTGCCTGTTTCGTGGATAGCTGGGGGGTTTAGGCTTTAAGGGTTTAAGGGGTTTAGGGTTTAAGGGGTTTAGGGTTTAGGGTTGAGGGTTTAGGACACTGAAGAAGAGCGAAAATGATCGTCTAACTGCAGTATGGGTAGAGAACGGTCGCCGTCTGGGAATTAGGACACACGAGGACAGATACTGCGCTAGAACCGCGACGCAACGTGAACCTGCTGCCAAACATGCCTTCTTTTACATGCATGCTGTCAGGATATGGGGCTGTTCTAGAGAATTAGGGGATCGCTTTACCTGTCTATCTTATTGGGAGCCCGTTGCAGTAACTGTTGCGAATTGAAGCAACCATACTATCATAGGAAACGCCAGAAAAGCCGTTGCTGCTCATCCATTCCTCATGTTCCTCGTATGCAGTCCTGCGAAAGACAACAGATCCTAGAAGTAAAGAAAAGGCCTGAATGCCTAAATACAGTATGTATACACAGAGACAATCATATGCACGTTTATAAAGTAGAAAACACAACTGTGCAGCAAACCAGAGGAAACATCAAAAGCAGCTGATACATATAGTAGACGCACAGGAGAGTACTGACATCCATCAAAAGTGCTCCCACACTGCATTCATCAACAGTCGGACCAAAATGTAGGAACCTGATTAAGAAACCCTGGCCCTATAACCCGAATATATTAGGGTTCATACTAAGAACCCGAATAAAGAGCCAGGGTTTCTTAATCAGGTTCCTACATTAGTAAGGTTCGAGGTGGGAGCTTCTGACTAAGCTTCCCCAGCACTTGTCTACTGCTGCTGCATGCTGCTGCTATTGCATGTGCTAGTGCTACCGCTACTGCTGCTACTGCTACCACTAATACTGCTACGACGATGACAACTACTACTTGTACGACTACTAACTACGACCACGACTACGAATTCGATTCCGCCTGCGACTTGACTACGACCGCTCCATGGGCTTCGACTACGACTAGGACTTGACAGCGACTACGACCTCGATTACGACCACTACCACGCCTAGGACGGCGACTCCTCCTGCTGCTAGCACCATCACCTTACGAGTCTCGGAAGCAGTCCCTTAACTTCCAGGTACCTACTATATAGGGTACTATAGAGCCCCTATAGCCCTATATGGGTAGTTGTCAAAATTATGGTCCCTTTTGGGGTACCCTAAATAATAGGTGCCGTACAAGAATAAGGACCCCAAAAGGGACCATAATTTTGACAATCACCTATATAGCAGGGTACCTGGAAGGTCAGGGAGTAGTGGCCTCGTCCGAGGCGGGGTCCGCGAAAGCCAGGATCAAGGCTTCCGGCGCCAGGCCCTGCTTGGAGGATCATGGGACTTAGTAAGTAAGGTTATAAGCCCCCTAGGACTTAGTAAGTAAGGTTATAAGTCCCCTAGTAAGTAAGGGTTTAGGGTTTAGGGTCTAGGGTTTAGGGTCTAAGTCCCCTAATTGGGGTTATATGTATAGTTACCTTAGTTATAACCCTACTTACTACGTCCCATGATCCTCTAAGTGTCCGGGGTCTGAAGCAGGAGCTGAGGGTGCAGGGAATCCCGCAATCTGAAGCAACTACCCATAGGCCCCATAGTAGTTCCTTCTTTGCGGGTTCATATATAGAATCCTATTAAGGTAACCCCAAAAAGGAACTACTATGGGGCCTATGGGTAGAGGGTGAAGAAGTCTGACCACCTTTCCTGTGACTTGCTCGGCACTTGGGTAGTCTGCAGCTGCCGACTTCTGATGAGAATGCCGCGACTATGATCCAGCACGGTCAAGACCGCGAGTGAATGCTGCTGGTGCTGATGACGAAGAAGAAAAAGAGCAAGAATAATACTATGATGGTGGTGACAATGACAACCATAATGATTCTTATGACGAATACTGACGACTATGATGGCCATGATGGTAATGAAGATGGTAATGATGATGGCGATGATGACGGATGACCATGACGATAAATCCTTAGCCGCACTCGAGTCCGAGGCGACCCCACTGCCTTCAGGCGCAGGAGCTCTGAAAGCGGCTGGACGGACCATTCCTGGTGCCGGTGGCAGGCCCTATATAGTAGGTACCTGGAAAAAATATATAACCCTATATAAGGCCCTATATAGGGTACTAGAGCCCCCTATAATAAGGCCCTATATAGTAGGTATTAGGGGTTTTCAGGGCTTGGGACGCATGAAGAGATGGAAGGCCTCTAAAGCTATGTCGGCTCGGTAATTCGATCGTTAATTACTTGCAACCCAGTCCTTACTGATGCTCTTCTTCCGGGTACAGTAGCCATGATGCTTCGAAAAGCATCATTGGAACTCCGGGCTTTCGCATGTGCCGGGTTCGCTGTAGGGTCGGCAGCTTGGGTACTCTGGAAGCTCGTCGGCTTCAGCCCTTACAAGGCCATGAGGACGGATTCGAGTACAGATTCGGACAGGCCATGCGACGTGTGCCAGGAGGTTAGGTGCACAGCTTGCGGGGGTTCGAACAACTGGGCCGAAAGCTGGTTACAGCCAGATTTTAGGATTAGAAATGAAACAGGAAAGACGACGAATCTTATTCTCCTCGGCATTACTCCGCCTTCTGCTAGTCACATTGCATTCTGCCGGCCTCACCCCGGACCAGCAGCCGCACGCCCGAATGCGTCGGGTCCTCACCTGCATCTCAATCCCTCACATACCTATAGTCTCCATTGTAGTTCCTTTTTTTGGTTTAACCAATTATATATTCAGGATTCTATAAGGTATCCCCAAAAAGGAACAACAATGGAGACTATAGGTAGAGTTCTGCTTTGATGTCTGGTTGAGGCTCCCGGGCCAACGGCTTGAGCTATTGGAAGCTCAGGGCCTCCTGAATCGCAGGATACTTGGAGGATCATGGGACTTAGTAAGTAAGGTTATAAGTCCCCTAATTGGGGTTATAAGTATAGTTACCCTAATTATAACCCTACTTACTAAGTCCCATGATCCTTGAAGTATGGGGCATGAGGAGACATCTTCATCACACTCGACTCTAGTGCTGAGCTAGCACAATACCGCTGGCGATGGCCATGTCTGTGGCGGTTGTGCCGATATCATCTATAGCTTTGCAAAACAGCCAACTCTCCAGAGCACCCGCCAACGCCCCCAATCCCCGGAACCAGAAGCCCAAGCCAAAGAGACTTAGACTGGACTTTGATTGATTGGGGTCCCCTGCCCTGAACAAGGATTGAGATACTGCCCACGCCTGCACCAGCCCGATCCTACCAAACTCCCCCTTTTTATGACTGGAGCCCCCGGCGGAGGCTTCGCGCGAGCTGCACCACCTCTGAGCGATTCAAGACCGCCTGCAAGCAGCGGTAATGTAATGGCCTCATGAATTAGAATAGGGTTTTGGGGGCTCCTTATTATAATTCAAGTATTATAATAATATACCCCCCCAAACCCCATTCTACTGTACTTATTAAGGCCCCTATATTACCAGGCCGTGATCTGAGGTCGTAGAAGGGTGCCAGGCTGCTCAAAGTTAGCTTCTGGATTTGGACGCAGAGTTTGCGCGATTTTGGCCGGAGGATTTCGGATTGTCGGCCTGAAGCCCCGATTTGGGAGTTTCCGAAAATAGGGGACCCTAATATAGTCCCCTAAATAGTAGGATCCTTATTATAAGGACCCCAAAATAAGGTACCCCAATTTTCGGAAAGCCCCGATTTGAGACCCCCCAGCAGCCCCCCCCAAGAAGCTTAGTGTCTCTATGAACCTGCCAACCCCCCCGAAAACTAGTCAAAACACCACAAACACGGGTTTGGGGCCCTCTACTTAAAGGATCATTGGACTTAGTAAGTAGGGTTATAATTAGGGTAACTATACTTATAACCCCAATTAAGGGACTTATAACCTTACTTACTAAGTCCCATGATCCTCCAAGTAGCACCGAAAGACCAACTCGGAAGCCAAAACAAGCCTCAAGTTTAGAGCTGCGAAGGGCACTGCAAAGCCCCAAAACACCAAAATAGGCCCCTGAACCCTGAACCCTAAACCTTAAACCCTAAACCCTAAGGGATCCACTAAAAACACCAAAAAGGTCCCTGAACCCTGGGAACCCCAAGGGATCCAAAAACAAAACACCAAAAAGGCCCCTGAACCCTGAACCCTAAACCCTAAACCCTTAACCCTAAACCCTAAACCCTAAGGGATCCACTAAAAACACCAAAAAGGCCCCTGAACCCTGGTAACCCCAAGGGATCAACAAAAAAAACACCCAAAAAGGCCCCTGAACCCTGAACCCTAAACCCTAAAGCCTTAACCCTAAACCCAAAGGGATCCAAAAACAAAAACACCAAAAACTCATCTAAGCTCGCCTCCGTCCGGCCCCCAGGCCGCCAGGCCCAGGGCGAAGCCAAGCGGAGAGCCGGGAGGCTCAGCAAGTAGCTGTAGTGATACCTTGTGGCTTATAGGTTTCAGGGTTTAGGGGTTTAGGGTTTTAAAGTTTTAGGGTTTATAGGGTTTAGGGTTTAGGGTTCAGGGTTTAGGGGTTTAGGGGTTTAGGGTTTAGGGGTTTAGGGTTTAGGGGTTTAGGGTTTATGGATGCAGGGGTGTAGCTGTAGTGATACCTTGTGGCTTATAGGTTTCAGGGTTTAGGGTTTAGGGGTTTGGGGGTTTAGGGTTTAGGGTTTAGGGATGTAGGGGTGTAGCCCAGCAGTTTTTGTTTTTGAGTGCCCGTTGTCCTTCAGACTTCAGGGGTGTAGCTGTAGTGATAGATGTGTTTTGATGGTTTGGGGCCGAGGGTGTAGGATTTTGTGGTCTAGGTTCTGGGGCTCAGATTTTAGGGGGGGAGCTGTATTATTAGTGATACCTGCATGGTGACTTGTAGGGGTGTGTTCTAGGATTTAGGGAGACTCCATCGTGTTGAGGGCGTGGGACTGCAGTGGTCAGCAGGTTTCGAAGGGTTTTGACGGCGTAGGTGTAGGGCTGTAGTGGTACATCGGAGCTGCGCTTGTTCAAAGCTTGCGAGGGTTAAGTGATACATGGGAGCCGTGTTCTCAAGTCGGCTTCGGAGACGAATCACACGGTTTGTGGCCGCCATAACCTACGCTTCAAAAAGGCACCTGCCCAGGTGGTCCATGTAGCAAACTAGTAAACTCATCTTGAACAAGGAGACAGTGTGTGCAAGGCCGTTACGGTTGCTTGCGTGGCAAACGGCTCGCAGGTACAATTTCGAGTGAGTGCCGTCAAGCATCCTAATGCTAGCCAGTGTCTGAACCCTAAGAATATCACAAAAACTGCATATCGATCCGTGGGAGATGGTATGTAGTGACTCAGAGGTCCAATTGCCCAGATAGATACACCCGATCGCAGTAAATGTGCAGTAGCCGAAACCATCCGAGCTGAGGGGCTTCTTGAGGTCAGCAAAGGTGCACAGCAGCAGCCGCCTCTGTCTTTACCGTTCAACGGCATGCAGCATCAGCCCGAACAGATCACCAGTCTCCACTCGAGTCTCCAAAGCTTCTCAAGCTTAGAGCCCTCGCCACTCAATGAAAAGGGACGCAGCCAGGAAAAAGAGAGATGGAGCTGAGGCCTTCATCGACTCCCATCGCAGGGTTGGTCCGAACCCTGGATCCTAAGCGCCCCCTGGAAACACCATCAAAACTTCAACCCAGAATCGTCGCAGCCGTACTCCGTGCTAAGCCCTGAGCCCAAACTCCAAACCCCTAAACCCTACCCCATCGCTTTCTGACCCCTAACCCCTAAAGCCCCAAAATACCCCACAGCTCCAAGACCCCTTTGGGCAATTCTCTAAAGTAAGGTCCCTGTTATTCGGGTCCCTTTTTTTTGGGGTGCTGTGCTATAATGGGGACCTAAAAAGGGGGACCCCAATTTGAGAGAACTACGCATTTGGCGCCTGAGCCTCGCCGGCTCCTCGAGGGCTGCCCCCGTCTCGATGTCGCTGCGGATCTGGGCCACTGCCTGCTTCAGGGTTGAGGGTTCGGGTTTGGGGTTTAGGGTTTAGGGTTTATAGGGTTTAGGGGCTTCAGGGCATGCGACATCTAGGCTTCGTTTTCAAACCTTTGTCGGTTTTGAGGGATCTTAAAGATTTGGGGTTGGGACGTCCTTTGGCGTGTTTGGGCCTAGGGTTGGGTGTTTCGGGCTGTAAGAAAGCAAAACCAGGGTTTTGGTTAGTATATACGGCGCTGCACTGAGCTTCTAAACGGAATAAGGGGTGCCATGTAGAGATGCTTCTAACTATAACATCTAGATCAATTCGCTGAACAGTCCGTGTACGGCACTACCCTCAGACTTCAATAAACTGCAAACGACACCCAGACGAAAAGGGATGTCACAGTCGTGATCTTCCCGAGGAGGCGCACACGGCAAAGCATTTTAAAATTCCCAGAGCTTGTGATTCAAGCCTCCCGGTCATTCAGGTGTGGTGCAAACCATCACCCAAAGCTTCCCAAACTGCCAAGGACGGCCAGAGGAACCCTGGCGGCTCAACAAAAACTTAACATCCGGCCAGCTGTCGCTTCGCAGTTCTACACCCCAAAGCTCCAGACCACCAGAACCCCAGAACCATGAAACCAAAAACCCAGCCCTCTTCGCCTGATTTAGACACCGAGCCCAAAGGGTCTAAGTGCTTATATGGTAGGTACTTTGGGGGCCCAAAATATCTCTACTATGTGGGGCCCTTAGACCCTGTAACGGGAAACCCCAATGCAGCATGACATTTAGGGGTTTAGGGTTAGGGGTTCAGGGGTTTAGGAGTTTAGGGGTTTAGGGTTTAGAATTTAAGGGTTTAGGGTTTAGGGGCTTAGGATTTAAGGGTTTAGGGTTTATAGGGCTTAGGGCCATTCTGCCCAAGGTCCTCGGCGAGGCAGCTGCTGCGCGCTTCCGCGTTGCCGAGGAAGCCTCGGAACTCCTGGGAGAGCCGGCCGAGTGCCAGGGCAAAAAGCCGACATATCAGCCGGAATAGTTTTAACAGGGCTGTGGTGTATGTATATATATATATATATGTATATATATATATATATGTATACGTGTATACGTATATATATATATATATGCACATACACACACATGCTAAAGTATATTGATCTCCCAAACCCCCACACCACAGTCGGTCTTCGACTCTCCGAGAAACCGGCTAATCTTCAACTTGCGATGGGATGCCAGACTTGACACCCAGAGAACCCGAGCTAAAACACCGAACTCGTGCACACCGGAAATCTCCTCCTCGGTGTTGAAGTTCTTCCTCGCTTCGGCGGCTCTCCGAACTGCGAGACTTCGAAAAAGTGCAGAGCTCCATAGAATCCGTCAAATCTCAAAGTGTGGCTCCGAGAACCGACTCAAGGAGCTGAAACAACTACCGATTATGCAGCCCAAGCTGCAGCTCACCGGATATGTGCACGGATCCCGCAGGCAAGTGGGCCTCCTTGCAAGCGGCTCTCGGCGATTTCAGGTTCATCAACGCAAGCGACTCCTGCATGGAGGTCCCTACAACCGTGAATACTTTGAACTTCGATTTGCTTAAACAGTCTTTCCGGGAGTCTCTCTGTCTCGGCGCCTTCCACATGCCAGAATTCGGAAGAACCCGGTGTTTGGGCCTGTCTACACTGATGCTACCCACGATCTCATGAATGCGTTCGCTCCGAACTCCTCGAAAGCCATGCCCCACACCCCAAAGCCTAAACCCTAAA